TAACGCTGAGTAAATCCATTATCACGAATTAAAATTTTGTGGTTACCGGCGGAATTGGAGGGTTACCATGTGACAGCTACCCGGGAACATCGGGGTTATAAGTTATCTCTGTAGCACAGATGATTTTAAAGTTGACTTTGTCACTATAAGTAAATAAAAATGTTGCTTAACGCAACTGGCACTTGGAAGGCTCGGATTTTAGATATTCGATCTTCGAATTTCGGTCAGTCAGTTTCGATGACCGTCTGTCCTTTCAGGTCGCGGAGGTAAACGCCGCAGACAGAGCCTTTAACGTTCTCGATCCTGTGCGAGCATTTGATCTTCAATAGAACATATCTCGGATTTAAAGCATACACCTTCCATACACTTGACCTAGGTTATTTCTTGCCGTCCCTGGTTTCTTCAGCCTATCGTTTGAGCGAATATTAGCTGCATCGCCTTCTTAAATAAGAGCATTGGTTAGAAGTGCCGAAAGCATGCTGCCATGGCTCCTCAATTAGAAGAACCAAGGCTCTCTCGGATATTTGCACTTGGATTCATGTCGAGACGAGTTGATTTAGCGGTAGGTCTCAGAAAGTCCGTATCAGCCGTTTGTTTCCAGAATCAAGGACTCTCAGTTATGGACTGTAGATGTTCAGGGTGAAGATCGACATGAACAGACAAAACTCAATGCTCAGTCTTCCGTCTTCAGACTTTCGTCATAGCAGTTCGGCCTAATTCGGGCAGAACGTTAATAGCCGGTCGATTTTTTCATCCCATTTTCCATTACCAGCAAACATGACCTTGAGGTACGTGAATTTTTACACCTGCTCAACTGATACAGTTTCGTTACGGCAAAATTGAATGCCCGGGTGAGGCTGACGAAACTCATTGCAGACAGTGTTTTCTAGGATGTTCTGACCCATTCGCATATCGAGAGAAGTTGCTACGTTGACGATGGTGTTCAGTCGATCATTATGAAGCAATTCTCTTAATCTAGCAGCTAATACCATTGATCAATTTTGGCATTTTTATGTCGCATGCTAGTAGGCAAAGGAGGATGAATCCTAAGGCATTCGTACGAAGAAATTTTCTAATTGCATCCTGTTGCGCATGAGGGTTCCTCGTTTTATTTAAACAACGAAAAGTTTGGCAACAACAGGCCGGAAAAGGAGGAAAAAGGAGAGTTCGAGCGGTTGAAATGTCGATTTTTCCATGCTTTCGTTTTGGCGTCATTTCTGGCAGGTGCCGTCCCGTTTATTAAGTTCATGGTATTAATTTCCATGCTATCAGTCAAAGTGCTTTATCTCAAAGTCAAAGTCGAAAGTAGTGATGTGGCCAGCATGGTGTGCAGTCTCTTGCTTCCTCGGAACGAAGAATGGTAGAATGACACAACTCAAACTATAAACCGGCACCTGGTGGTTCTGAGTCCGGCGCTCTACCGACTGATAAACCCTATTACGTATGATCACCGTGCGCGTGCCAGGTTCGGTCAGGGAGCAGAACGACACTGGAGCATCTTACGGTACAACGTGATGTGACCCGGACAGTTGTTGACGTGCAAGGCATTTGATGCTAGATCCAGAAGTGCTTGATTTGTCGCATGTCCCATTGCAGATTTGGATGCATTAAAGCGTGGCTCGTTCGCGAGAAGACACCTCCATGTGCTTAAGATGCCATCATGAAATTCGTCCCGGTATTCAGTCGATTTGATACGCCCTTAGAGGGAGTACTTGGTGCGTGTGAGTCGGATGATTGATGCGATGGTAAACGTGTACTCTTGCGTTGTCGTTTTCGATGATGCACTGTGTCACGCATCTAACAGTTTTAACCTTTTCAGAGTCGTTCAGTGAAGTGGTGTTTTGCGTAGGTTTGAAGCGACGATCCGGCTACTGTTTCCTGAACCTGTTCATTCCTGCGACGGCGGTCGTCACCAGTTCGTGGACATCGCTTTGGCTCGAAGACCAGACCCAGTTCGCGGACATCTTCTCCATCCTGCTGTCCATCATCTTTCTGTCGTTTTCGTTCAACACTGTGATGCCGAGGGTCAGCTACATCAAGGTACGCATCTCGAAGCAACCCTCACGACTGCTGATCGTGAGTTCCGTTTAGGTCATGGACATCTACCTCGGCGCGTGCTTCATTTTCGCCTTCCTGTCACTAGTGAAGCTGATCATCGTCAAGATGTTGCACCGCCAGATTCAGAAGCGCAGCAAGCGTACGTCGATCAGTCTACTGAAGAGCCATCCACTGCTGTCCGACTCTTGCTCGTCGTCGTCGAACTCCGCCGAGCGGACGGTGGACTCTCTGGACTTCCAGGTGGACTTTCTGAAGCATCTCCATTTCGACCATCCGATGTTTCAGACTGTGCACGACTGCTTTTGGCTAGGAGCTAAGGTATTTCACATCATATCACAGGTGTTTCTGCCGATAGCTTTCGGCATCTTCGGCTTCTTCTATTTCGCCATTTTCCCCAATATCGACTATTCTTCGATAACGTGTTGAGCAAGGTCGATGGCACACGGACGACCAAAGCCAGACACGGTCGACACAACACGATGCCTGAAGCGTCGCATATGCTACTGCAGCCTGATGCCACCGTTGTGCAAGGACCTCCAGTGATTGTGTAATGTGCATACAATGAAGATATGTACGCCGTTGTTTAAAATAAATTGTTCCTCAGTGCCCGCATCTGTACGGACCAGAAATAAACCGGGTCCCAGTTTCGATTGCATCTAGGGCTTGAATCCGCAGCAAAACTAGTTGACCGATGGACAGAGTAGTATGCGGCGCACGAGTGTGACAAAAATGCTGGCAGTAAAATGCTGAGCAGGTCGATCTGCGGTTTCCATCAGCCGGAGCCAAGCCAGTTAGGTAGGAAACGTAAATACACTGTGAAAGTTTATACCGGTTTGACGACGAGTTATGATTATTAAAAAACAATTTAAAAATTCACATTATCACAAATGTTCGCACTCTCGAGTATGTCAAATAGCGTTCAAGACCAGATTTCGTGGCGTCTTGCACCACCTATTGCTCATAGTTACCTGAAAGGACATTAAGCAGCATGTGAAGAGTACGAGCTTCTGCAAAATCGTTTCTGATGAGCGTCAAGTAGCTGTAATTGACAAATTAATAAGAAATGCATTTGGCACTGCAGAGGTTCAAGTGCCATGGAGCCTGAGCTGCTAAAATGGGCCCGTAGACAAGTATGAGCGATGTGGACGTAAAATAGGCTGTGATAAATCTGGTCGTGGAAGAGACACTCCTTTCATACCTGTTTAAAAATCCTGCCATCCAGTTCTCCACTTTGTGGGGTCAGTGACAGGACGGCAATGCTATATGTTCGTGATGTCTTGGAACGACAGTAATTTCAGCTTTGATTGTGCCGCCTTATTTGGCGTGGATTTTAAAAAAGATTTTTAAACTTTGAAACCTTAGCATAAATAGTAGAGAAATAGGAGGTAATAGACAGCAGATAAGAAATTTACCTTTTCAGCACTTTTACTTAAACTTTTCCCAGGAGGCTCAGTATGGTAATGTCCTGAGTACTGGAGAAATGTTTTTGGTATCCCGTCTTGAACAGATTGCTACAACTACCGTTTTCTAGTGAACTTGTGTCCTTCCCGTAGTCACTGCAATTTGACCAATGCGTGTAACAAACAACAGGTCTTGTTTGCCCTATGCACTAAGCGTTTCGGGGCGGATTTCATCGCTTCCATCAGCCTTGACACTTTTGAAAAAATTTACAGCTTCTGCGACTTCATGTACTGAAAAGTAGTATTCGTTCCTGCTCCGCTTCAGGCGAATCTTTCTGCGGCTGCTTGGGATTAATGAGTTCCTCAAAGTACTCCCTCCATCGCCGAAGAATGTCATCATCCTTGGTAACAGGGTGTCCAGATCTGTCCTTCGAGACTCTTAGACTGTCCTTCTTTTCACCTCGGCTGACGGATGGTCTACCAGAATACGTTGCTTGCCGTACGGAAATTCGACTCCAACACCTCACCGAACTTCTCACAGGAATCAGCTTTGGCTTTCGCCTATGAAATTAGCTGCTAAAATGAGAGTAGGTTGTGAGGCCTCAGTTATTAGAAATTTGCGCGGCCGTTGGTTACCAGGGAATAACGGACATATCATGAAGGCAGGTGGCTGGCTTTAACGGGAGACCCCATCGAAATCCGAAAACCGACCTCTTTTTTCCTTTTGACTTGGTAAACTTAACTGTGGAGTTATCCGGTTAACTGTTCGCATTAAATTTTTGTGCTGCGTCTTACTCTGGATTTGGAGTAATTCCATGCGTTGTGAATTCATTGTTTGCTGATTGAATGAAATCGAATTCGTACGTCGTTTTTTGCATATACACATACGAAATTCGGCTTTGACTCCGTAATGTTAATTTTAGTGGTACGGAAATGATTATTGATGTTCATTCTCTATTTGTATGGATTCTGTAGGTTTCGAAGAGTAGACGAATCCGACCTGGTCATAAGCCAGTGGGGCAGTCAGCTAGTTCAATATTGGCCGTTTCTTCGAGGTCGTGAATACCCGTTGCGCCAGCAACGCTGCAATGTTAATTGACGAATCTGGTTGCGGGTGTTGGCACGCCTTTGTTATTTAATCAGTCCTGTTGTTCATGAAAACAAATGATTATCATGCCCAAAAAACGAAGAAATCGTCACACGCTAAATTGAAATAAACAGGATAAACAGAAACAAGTATTAATTATAAAAATTCGGACAAACACCGAGAAGGGAAAGTATTTGCATGACAGTCAGAGTTCAGCAATAATCACGTACAATTCACAGTAACGGAATTATTTAACTCTGAATTGAATTACAGTTGTGGACGGTACGCTCCAGAGCCGGAATAACGGACTTTCGCTAGAGATACTTCATTGAGTTGATTCATTCGTCATTGCATCATTCTTTCATGCATCTTCTTTCCTTCGTTCGTTGATCCGTTCATGCATTTATGCATTTGCTCACTCATTCATTCACATACGCATTGCTAATCATCGATTCATCCATACATACGTACACGCATTCGTTACTTCTGTTCTTCCTTCATTCGTTGATTCATCTTATTAATTCATCGATTTATGCATGCACTAATAATTTCTTGCATTCATCTTCAAAACCTGCGATTCCCTTTGGAATCTGTACTTGAAAGCTTTCCGAATGGCTTCATTATCCGCTGAATTCCAAATCAAATTAAAACACGTTTTACAAAAATTCAAACTATGAGAATCTCTTCGTTACGTTGCTCGTTTTCTGCATGGCACAGCTATGCATGAGAATCCACTATGCGCCTAACTCTACTATCATGCTGATCAGATATCTAGATATGGCAATTGTGGACTCTCGATCAGGGCAAAGAGAGAGTCACGACAGCTGGTAAAGCTGATTACTCTG